TTTTGGCCAGGGGCGGCGTATAATCCAATTATTGTTTGTTGGTAGTCTGCCCTTTGCCGTCATGGAGATTCCCAATACTCTAATGAGGGCTTCCTTGGGGAGCCAATTGATTCAAGGTTGTTCTAGGGGTCTCACTCCTTGGTGGTGTATCCACCATCCCAGGGTTTTGTTTCCCCAGTTAACTTTCATATCATACAGTTTACAGAAAAGATCCATAATGTGTTGCACATCTTCCATTGACTCTTTTGATGCGTCCACCATCAGTGTCAGGTCGTTGGCAAACAAGGAGCACACCGGGATTGTCTCCCTGGGTATTGTTGCAGCTTAAATTCTTTTGCTGTCTTTGTGGGCCCGTAGGTTGGTAGGTAGTGCCTCCATGACAATGACGAAAAGGTAGGGTGCTATAGGATCTCCTTGTCTGACAGACCTCTGGAGGCTAATAGGGGGGGCTAGATTACCGTTTACCATGACCCTGGTTGTTGCGTTCGCGTGAAGAATCTCAATCCAGCGTCTGAAGCATATCCCAAAATTAAGTTTTTCCGGACACTTGTCAAGAAAGAACCAATCAACATGGTCGTACGCTTTTTCGAAGTCGATAAAGATGATTGCTGCATTGTTTTTGGACTGCCTTGTTAGCTTGATCATCTCATTAACTAGGAGAATGTTATCTTGAATTCTCAAAATAGCAAAATCTGTTGTTCTTTTGCCGTCACACATTGGGGCTCGCTACACTACTCTAGATTCGAGTTTTTTCTTGAGTGCGGCATGGCTGCACTTACTAGATAAGTTCGCTCTAGATTTGTCAGTTCTTGAGCTGTCAGAGCGGGTCGGTCCTTCTCACTCTAGATTGATCTAGAGCACCAGCCTGCAAAGGCGGTTTTTTTTTTGGAGGTCCAGAGGACCTTTTAAACGCCTTGGTTTTCCTTGAGTGGGCCTTGAGTCTGGACGAACAACCCAGGTTGGTGCTGTCCTGCAGTGAAATGGCCAAACTCGGAAAGTGACAGAGCAACTCAAGCTTTTCTAGAGTCGAGGGGTCTTGCTCCACTACACCAGACTCAGGGCATACTTACACGGTGACCCCAAATCTGCAATTTGGGAAGCGTCGATTTGAGGTTTTGGACATGGTTCACGACACACTGCTGTGCCTTTTCAGATGGGACAAGGTCACGACCGTCTGGAGAAATGGGGATTTGGTACTTGGCTGGTCACACGGCGCCATCCACTAATTGTGCAAGAATTTTAGTGAAAGAATTTTTGTCAATTTTCGAAGAAAAATGCAACAAATGAAAAATGGCATTTGCGGTCACCTCCAGAGGTGACCGCAAAATCCCTTGCCCCACGGCTTCCCAGGCCGCTGACAAATAGTACATTTGCGAATTTGGTAGTTCCGTGTGACCGGCCTTTTGACCTTTTTTTTGGGATTTTGGGATTATAGGTCGCCGTGTGAGTATGCCCTCACGAAAAAAAATGTGAGTGCTTCTAGAGTTGTCAGAGGTTTATAACTATTGAAAAAAGACGCATGGCTCCACTTACTCAAGACTCAAGAACTATAGAAGCACTCACGAATTTCTCATTGCTACATGACAACCCTTCTGCAACTCCAGATTAAAGCGCCATTTCGTTCTGATGGTCGGGGCAGGTGGCACACTCGCGAAAAAAAAGGCTGGAGCGGGGGTAGGATGGAGGAAGCTAGAAAACCTGAGCGTTGCAGGCTGTGAACTCTAAACAAATCGAGAGCGCTTCTAACAGCTTTCTAAGGGTGTTGTGATGAGTTCCAGTCTAGATTAAGTGGAGTGTGACGCCCAACCTTACGCCCGGCGCGACTTCCTGATCGGAGTGGGATGTGGTTCCGGAAGTGCGAAAAGGGGTGCGCCAAGGATTTTTGGGAAAGTGGGGGTGGAGTCCCAGGTCAGAACTGGGATCTCTTGTGGCGAGGGTTCAGGGGCATAGGTGCAATAAGGCTAAGGGACGGGTTACTTTCGGTCCGATTGAGGTCGATGTCGTGCAACATAAGGCAGATGGCATGCGCGGTGCATCCTGGGTCATCCGATCCGTCTGCTTAGTGGCGGCGGTTCGGGAGAGGCCCTTTCGTAAAGGTTGCGATTGCTAGGAGTTGGATCTCCGGGTGTGGTCGCGTGGCGACTGTCATCACGTGTTACGGTTACGTTCCGTAATTCCAGAGGCTCGGCGGATTCCGCGTCGTCTGCAATTTCTGCACAGCGTGTGGGGCCAATACGGGGCCTCTATGGAGTTCCACGGAACCACCGTGAGCTGGTGGTATGGGAGGAGGATGTGGAAGGGAGGGAAATTGGTAGCGATAACAACGAAGCCGAGGGATATGAAGTATTGTGTGTTATACGTAGTTAGGTAATCGGGGCATCTCGGGTCGCTTGTTACGGCACGGTGAAAGTTCCTGGCACACAGTTGGTTCCCGATTAGACAGGGAAATTCCGGATATCTCTGCCTAAGATATTCTTCCTCCCAGTGCTCTAAAGACTCCTGATCCGCGATGTACGACATCTTGTCATTCCGGCGCACGTATCGGATCGTGCTTTATTCGACACAGAATTTTCCAGGTATGGTGGCGGAAATTCCTATTGGCCCAAATCCTCAAAAGAAAAAAAAAGTCACACTTATTACGATACTGGAAGTGTCGAGTTCACTAGTGGCCGCGAATCACCCGCGTGGGGACACGTGTAGGCCGCGCGGATCAGATCACGTTTACACGTGCGCCCACAAGGTGTTTGATCATACACAGGCCTGTTGGCTGATTCTTGTGCAAAAGTGAGAGTAAAACCCTACATGCAGAATCCCCACATAGCGTAGATGATCTCCCAACAATCATTCTATAATCCTGCAAACAATCATTTCCGATCGTGCAAAGTGACATCGCACACATGAAGCACTGCAACAATATGCCATCAATCATATTAAAATGACCAGCAAATGGCAGCAACAATGATGATTAGGCAAAAACGGCGAGCATATCATTCCATCAGAACTCGGTTACCCAACACACACACACAAGAGAGGAAGGATCGAGACTGAATGAGACACCATACGAGGAACAACATCGAGACAAAGATGCCGAAAGAAAATAAGGGCGAATTGCCCGAGCCGCAATCAAAACTTATTTACAAAAACAAAGGAAAAAACAAGGAAAATCACAACTCCACGTCCATCAACCTCAACCCTCTCTCTCTCTCTCTTTCTTCGATGCGGACAGTCCGTCGTCACGCACCAACCCACGAAGTCGTCACCCCGCTTAGTCCTCCTGCGCCTGTCGGATTCGCCCGCGCGCTACAGTCCGTCGTAGCCCCACGCGTCAATCCCGCACATTTGGCACCAGCTCGTCGGGTCCGCAAACTTCCACTTCAACTCACCTCTTACTTCGCTGCTGAGCCGACCCTCACTGATCGCGCTACCCCGAGCTTCCAACATTTGTTTTAAGAGAGCAATCTCATCGCGCCGTCGAAATTTATAGCGTGCATGCATGCACGAAGAATGCGGAATTGCAAGGACTTAGAAGGGGAGAAGGGGAGGGAGTGCCTACGTTCTGCATGCCCAGATCGCGGCGTGGGGTCATAGCCACTCTCCACGCATCGATCCGATCACGCAGCCCGCGGGCCGACTAGACAAAGGAAAGATAACAGGGGGCGGGAAAGACGAAGCTCAAGAAGAAAGATACAATTACAAGGATGCCCTGTCCAAAATTACGGTTGCACGCAAGATTAGGGGCGTCGACTAATCAAAGCTCCGTCGCAGCCGCAAAAGAAGCGCGTGAGCAAAAAGCACCGCTCGAAAAAAAAAGAAGTCCCGAATTCCAAAATTCCTAAATTCCTATTTACGCAAAAATGCAAAAAGAACTTTATTAGAGCACAAATCCCGAAAAGAAAATCCGAAATTCCGAGAGCCATCGAGGGCTCGACAAGATTCGAAAAAGGAAATTCAAAAAGAAGCAAAACTTCCCGCGCAATCACCGCGCCAAGAACTTGACAACAGAACAAGAAAGAAGCGACTTCAAACATTATTAACCGCGCCTTTGTCGGCGCACCAACCACTCGATCGACCATCCCGAGACTTGCCCAACCCTGAACCCAACCAACCGAAAAAGAGGCGACGTAAAAAGACGAAGAAGCGAGGACACCGATGCAACTTTCTTTTTGATCCCGATCTCCCGTAATTGGCCCAACCTTCCCATCTTAGGACCCCTCATTGTCACCGCGCAGAAGATTGCGCGAAACAGAAATTGGTTCGTCACATATGTGACGCCCAGGGGGTTCCGATCTTAAGCAAGCTCCTGCTTGCTTGACATTGCGACACGTGTCGATCTCTCTAATAGATTGACACGCGGAGCTCCCTTCGTTGCCACTTACTGTGTGATGAGAGTGTGGAAGTCATCCACTCTGGCATACATGGCTCTATCCTACAAATTCCTCAGGAAGGGCTCTCTTCAATCGAAGGAGGGGATCTTGCGCGCCATCGACATGACACGTGTCAGGCACCTGCACATGAGTGACCATCAGGAAGGGGAGGCGCTTCATGGGGGTATGGCGAGCGGGGTGGGTTTGTCGGAAGGAGGAGCGAGAAGCGTTCCATCCTACAAGTTCCCCGGAAAGGGCAATCTGATCACAGACGGGGGAGGCGATGGAGGATTCTGGGGGAGAGGAGGCATGGACCAATTGATGGCCGGAGACTCGAAAGCGGGAAGGGAGGTGTAATGGAGGGAGCGATGGATACAAGGAAAACGAGGTCCCTCGCGATGGTCGGGGAGGGAATCAATATAGTCAGGGTAGAGAGTGGAGAGGGTGCGGCGAAGAGCGGTGCAAAAATTCTCATAATTTTCGCATGTGGGGATCGTTCCTGATATAATACAATATATTTCTACGTGGTTATATTCCTGCCAGTCCGCACTAAACAAGAGAACATGGAGAAGGAAAGAATCTACTACGGAGCGAGTGGTAGCGTGGGGAAAGACGGTGACTAGGAGGCGGGTGGCGTAGAGGTGATAGAAGAGGTCGGGAGGGAAGGGGCACCATCCAGCGGGGAACGGCGGTCTACTTGGGAGTCAGGTGAGCATCAAGAAGTAAAGGGGGCGACGAGAGAATGACCAGGGACGAAGCCCGATCGCCCTCATCTTGACGTAGGCGAAGGGCAGGTCGGGAAGGGGAACCAGACGAAGTCGGCGATTCGCTCCTCCTTCGGCGACGTCTTCCTGATCCCTCCGCTGCGGCTCCATCGCCTCCTTCTTCTTCCTTTGGGGTCTTTGGATCGAGCCACGGATTCGCCAACGATAGATCAGGCGGGGGTCCTTCCGTGATCGGCCGCTTTCCCTCCGCCTTTTCCAACCGCTTTCGTGCTTTTGCCTCCTCCTTTTCCTTACTTTGACCGAGCCGCTGACTCAGCTCACCCGCTACAGCTTCCTCCTCTGCTGGCTCACCTTCTTCGTCTTCCTCCTCCTCTCCTTGGATGTAATCTGAATCGTAACGATCCTCGCTCGATTCTTCTTCTTCGTCGTCTTCACTCTCCTCTTCTTCTTGCCGCGCGCCTCCTCGCCAAACGATGGGGTCCCACAGTGTGAGATCGGTGACGTTGATCTCAAGGAAGAGAGCTTGGGACGGATAGATACAGTTGTCGTCGTCCAGCTCGTTACACGTGGACCACAACAGGCGCGGCTCGAGCATCCTGGAAAGGACGTGGGTGCCCGACTGATTGTCACACCACGATACGATGTCCAGAGGCAGGTCGTCCACTAGCTGTGTTAGGAACACCAGCAACTCGCTCGTAACTAGAGCGAGATTCCCGTCATCCACCTTCCCAAATAGTATCCCCAACAGATCTCCCTCCGTCGCCGTTCTCCAAGCTTGCAGGATCAATATTTCCACCACGTCGTCTAGAAGTTCAGGTCCTTCTCCGTACGGTGTTGGCTCGGAATAGCGGAACCCTACTTTCAACAGGCAAAAAGCGAGCTCTGCGTACGCCTCCCACCAGTCATTCCACTTCTCCTCGTCCAGTATCGACACACTAATTTGCTTGATACGATAGGAGAGAGATGGGGCGTGATCAGATTGCCAGAGGGTGGGGATGTCGGAAGGGAGGCCAAAGAGAGAGACAGCAGTGACTCATCGGGGTTGCACGAAGGGACGAAGCTCCGGCAACATGATCGGCGGAGAATCACTGGAAGAGCGAAGCTGCAGATGGATGTCGTGCGAGGGCACGACCGTATCCCCGTGTCGAGCGAGGAGCGTTGTCCACGCAGTCTGAATCTCTTCACCCCAAGCGCGCAAGGTCCGGAAGATGTCGGGATGGATCGTCGATGGCACTGCTGTAATATCCCCAATGAAAACGACAATGACGGTGATGTGACTAATCCCAGGAAGGGACAGGCGTTGAAAAGCCGAAACCTTGGCCAGGACACGTGTCGCTGCCTCTTGCGTAAACCGGAATTTCGCTGCCGTGTGGATTGCCGTCGTGCTGAAGAAGGTCGCAAATCGAAGGAGATCGGCACTGAGGCGTGGCCGCTGTACTTGCCGGATTGTACTGATCTGCCCCCTCGGGTTAGCAGTTGCTCGCTAATCACCTGCTCCGTTGAAAAGCTCATGGCAATGGAGGCGGGGACGGAGTGCCCGAGGGAGAGAGGGACGGGGAGGGGGAGACTGGATCGTCGTCGTCTTCCTCGGTGTCATACGAGGAGGCAGGTGAAGGCGGAGATGGAGAGGATGGAAGAGGGCGTAGATAGAACATGTGGCGAGTTCTCGGTTGAGCCGATTGGCTGCTGGAGACCTCAGGCACGAGCCGCACGGTGTTCAAGGCATTCGGTCCGAGCTCGACTACGTGAAATCGCCCGAAGAATCGTGGTGCTCGCTTACCCTGGCGAGCACATTTCCTCACCTGCACGATGTCCCCCAATTTATATTGGGGCCGTGGTCCCGCATTCCCGTTCCGGGCCTAGTAACTGCGGACCTGTCGGCCGTGGGCCAACTCAGTCATTTTCTGGTGCTTTCGGGCTAATTGGGGAAGGGACCGTTCCATTAGCTCTAGGTGTCGTGTGGCCTTGTCTCGAACCGTGACCCTCGTGGGCCGTCGGTTCAACGAAGATTCGTCAGGGAGGCTCAGTATTAAAACGCAAGTCACAATATTGGTCCGTAATTGAAAGGGGCTTAGGCCCGTAGATTCGTGCGTCGTCCCTCGATGGACCGCCAGGATGTGATCCACGATGTCGGGCCAGGGCCTTGGATCACGTGCCACGATGTTTCGTCGCAGTGCAGTCTTAATGACCCTATTTGCGTTTTCTACCATCCCGTTAGACTGTGACATGTGGGGTGCAGTATTCCGTATGGTGACGTCGTGTATGACCAGATTCTTCAACACTTCTCCTCGAAATTCTACCCCGTTATTGGTCAGGATTTCTTCTGTGTCCTGGTGCATTCCTAGAAAACGGTTGACGTATCGCACTATTTCAACCGCCTGTCGCGTTCCACACGGATATGCCTCGATCCAGTTTGAGAAGTGGTCTACAAATACCAGTAGGATTGAATAGTCACAAAACTCACAATTATTAGGTCCAGGGGGCACCATGATATTAGTAGTATCCATGCTTACCCTCTGAAATGGTCTTTCAACTACCGTCGACACTATTGATCGTGGCGGTTGGATCGGCCGCTTGCCAGCAGCGCAGACCTGACAATTCTGGACGATGAATTTCACATCGTCACGTATGTTAAACCAGTACCACTCATTTTCGTCGATCGCCGCTTCCGTGATTCGGACGGCAGAATGGGCTGCAGTTTCCTCATGTGCCGTCTTAACCCAGTCATACCTCATGAATGGGTGTTAAACTACCATCCAAATCCCACTGCCATCCGTCTTCCATTTTTCTAACCGACCCTCATTCCAACGGTAGTCCTGAGCCCTCTCATTGGCCCTCCTCCGGTCCTCCTTAGTGAAGTCCTGGAGGGGGTTACCTACCAAGGTGGCAATTAGAGCAATATCCATCCATACCTCGGCCCTTCTAAATTTTTGGGTCTTTTCTAACCCTTCTGACGTGGCATCGAGGAATCAAGCCTCGGTCGGGATCTTATCGACTCGACACAAGGAGCACAACCAAGGCTTGTTGCCATTTCGATATTGAATGTAGGAGCCATGGGCTCGCACGACACACTGCCGACAATCTACCCACTCGACATATCCTTCCCCAGTAGGATGCATAGGGACGAAATAAACGCGTGAAGTCGCTTCGCAAAAATAGAAAAATTTGTCGTGAAGAGAGAGAAGAGATGAAGGTGAGAGGGGAGAGAGGTGTTGTAGGACTACCTCTGTCCCCCATTGCCACTTGTCTGCTTCTTGCCACGTGGAAGGACTGCCACTTGTCCGTACTTGGGTCCGTTCGACAATTTCGGTTCCTTTCATGGAATGATTTCCTCGCCTTTAGGTACCTTTAAGTTAGCGGGTCGATGGAGACGTGTCAAACCGTCGGCGTTCTTGTGCCTCTCCATCTTCTGGTGGACGATGTCGAAATCGTACTCCTGTAGGCGCACCGCCCAACGCCCAATCATGCCCGTATAATTAGTGAGCCTTTTGAGAGTCAGTAGAGGTTCGTGGTAAGTTACAAGAAGAAACTTATGTTCGTAAAGATACGGATGGAAGTGTTGGATTCCCCAGACCACGGCGTAACATTCGCCTTGCGGGGCGGAATCGTTTCTCCGCTCATCTGGCACCATGCGTGAAGCGTATTCGATAACGTGTTCACGGTCGTCGTTCCCCTTCTGTGCTAGGATAGCAGAGATTGCCTCTGGTTGCCACTCCGTAATAAGTATGAACTGCTTCGTAGGATCCGGCCGGATCAATATAGGTGTTGGGGCCAGGGCGTCTTTGAGGGTGGCGGAGGCCTGTTCGCACTCGACGTCCCAACTGAGAGGCTGGTCCTTTCGCAGCAAGTTCGGCAGGGGCCTTGCTATCGCGGCAAAGCCCTTGATGAAATCTCGATAGTACAATGCCAATCCCAAAAAGGCTCGAACCTGGGTCAGCGATGTAGGAACAGGGGCATCCTTCACCGCCGAGACCTTTCTTGAATCTGGCCGCAGTCCTCCTCGTGTCACCACGTAGCCTTGGAAGGACATCTCTGGGAGGAAGGACTCGCTCTTTTCGAGCGTGATCTTGAACCCGAAGTCTCTTAGAGCTCCGAGCGTCCACTCGATATGTTGTGCATGTCCGTGATAGGTTTCTGAGTAGACCAGGATGTCGTCCATGTATACGATGACGCAGAAGTTGATCGTTCCCTGAGTCAGCCGCGTCTTGTTAACGAAGTTCTGGAAGGTCATGTTCATGGCCCGCTGAAATGTGGCAGGTGCGTTGCAAATCTTCATAGGACACCGAACCCACTGCCACGTGCCTTCAAACAGTACGAAAGCCGTTTTCAGTCGATCTTGGAAGCCGTGACGAATATCAAATTTACTAAAATAAATAGCACACCCAATCGCATCCAGCAAATAATCAATCCGGGGAAGGGGATACTTATCTTTGATCGTGATATCATTCAGTTTTCGGTAATCGATGCAAATGCGAATCAACCCATTCTTCTTCGGTATTAATACCACCGGGAATAATCATGGTCCAATAGCGGGTTCGATCCACCCATTAGCTTCGAACTTCCGAATCCGCTGAAGCGCCATTTTTCGTTCTACTAGGGAATATCTGTAGGGTATACACAAGATCTGGGGGTGGTTTCCGTTTTGAATCTCGTGCTGTATGACCACCCACAGTCCAATATCCGTGACAGTCACGCCAATCGCTCCCTGATATTCTTTTAGAATGTCCGCGATTAGGTGATGGATCTCATCAGGTACGTAGTGGGGCATGTGCAACTCATACGATTGATCCCATATCTGTACACCGATCTATTTCGTACTTTCCCGCTTAGTGGTTTCAGGCGTGGGTGTGGAAATAAATGAGTTATCCGATCGCCAAGAGAATATCGTGGCCATCATTTGTATGTCCTGCTCTCGAATGGCCCCGTGTTCCTCCGGGGTTACTCCGTCGCGAATATCGTGCCAGGACACAGGATTTGTTGCGATTTAAATTCCGAGTCCGGTTCCGAGGCGCTCAGGGGGTTCCAAAGAATTGGCCTCCGCCCCTAAGCCTATGTATACCCAGCGGCCGCGGTCACCGCGGGCATGACCGTGGCCCGCGGTCGAGGTCGAGGGGTCATGGTCAAGACCGCTGTGGGCGCGGTCGAAATCGGCGCACCGCGGCCAAGGGGAGGGGGTCCTGCCGATCGGGG